ATGGGGGGGGGTGTTAGATGTCCTGCATGGCGGCTGACCTACAGGAGGAGCTGGACAGACAGTTGTGAATGGACTCTCTTTTTTTAGACTCCTTAGCTTATTAGGGTTTGAGTAATTAATATTATGGAGCTGTAAAAAGGGAAGGGAAAGTTCCACAACTCGGCATGAAGAGTCTGAGAAAATACCTGTTACCACTCATACGTTGGTATGCTAATTATAAAGTGGCTAGCTAACCTAGCTTGGAAAAAAAGACTCAAAAACAGGAACACAACTAAAAAATAAAAAAAACTAATTAGAATTGTGTCAGATTTTTTCCTGATTTGATCAAGAACAGGAAGTGATTATTATCGTCTCTCCTGCAGGAAGCGTAGGCTGAAACATGGACGTCGAATCAGTGACGTCACAGATTTGCTTTTAGAGCGTAGTTTTGAAGCCCGACGATGGCGGTGGCCACAAATGACAACTCAAATCTAACTTTTTAGTCAACTCAGTGACAGGAAAAGAGGCGGGCCTTAAGCCTCCTGACCAGCAGCCTGTGAGTCAACTCAGCCCACACCTAATTATGCAAATGTGTGCATAACTCTTACCCATTTTATAATAAATATGCTATGCTAAATATGCTAATTTATTTATCGGTACACTCTGTTCAGGGGGCGATTGTCTTTGTAACTGATCCGCTTTGATTTTATAACGGGTAATGTGTAATTAGGGGCGTGTGTAACCGATTGTCAGGAGACTTAGGCCACGCCTCTGCTCTACCTCTTTGCCTTCAAACCTGAAGTTCAGTAACCAGTGGGTGACATCACTGAGTCTACGTCCATGTTTTGTACAGTAGGGTGCTGTCTTTTTCCCGTTTGCTTAAAAAAAACAGTTAGCATGACTTACATTTAGCATCAATTGCGTTCAATTGCTCACTAACTTTCGAGGGATGACAATAAGGGGTTAAATCTGTGTTTTTGTAATTTGCCATAAAGAGAAACAAAGAAGAGAAAACAACGCTAACAGCCCTGTTGAAATGAAGCACCATGCAGGAAACTCAAAGTGTACACAGTGTACCACACGCCAGTTAACTAACAAAGCGTCCAAATTTAGACCCATCAATGCCCGCTCCCTAAAGGCAAAGTGACGTCCAATGATGTTTAAGGAAGGAGACGGACTGTGTGAAACCATCAGCTCAGTGAATCGAAGGCTTCACTCTGTAAACTCCATGAACTCTGAAAGATAACACTGCTAATGTGACGTCACCCTGCTGCCACAGACGCTCCTCACAATAAAAACATTGGAAGGTGCAAAGATCGTTTTTCTTTTCATGGTTACCACCCGTCATGGCCCGTCCGACCACATGACAATCTCAGAAACACACAGCACACAACGTTTGGTGTTCTGTGTCCGTCCACACACAGGTCGTCCTCTGTCGGAGACGTTGTGACTGCAGGCTACTAAAACAATATGTTGTGAACTTCTCTGATTACTGTGGAGGAACAGAATCCCCTTCACACAAATGTGGGGGCTTTTTTTGAATCACACGCTTCAATGTAGGCCGATTATAAAAGTGGATAAAAAAGTCAAATGGTTTAAATGTGTGAAACAAGACGGCGAGACGAAGCTGAACAACTAAGCGACGTCCCTTTTTAAGGTCTCAGATGTCGAGGCAGGAAACTTGATCTGCTAAATGTGGTTTGGTGAGGGATGCCCCCGAACGAGCAGTGAAGTGAGTCACTCTGTGGCACAGACACCACAACACATGCTCAGCATACGAGGACGATATCACACCGACATGTTCGACCTCTTTCTCCAGAATATGATGTATGTGATGGGAACTTTTATCTCACAAGGAAAACGACGTTAAGACAACAGAACATGCTTGGGAATGTTTTCCTTTTTAAGTTATATAAAATGTTGTCTGTGCATACATGGGTACACTACAATCAGGAGATGCTAACAGCTAATTCAGCATGTTCTTATGGTTCAAAATGCTAAATAGCTTTAAATAGACCTTTTTTTTTACAGCACACCAACAGCAGTGAGCAGCCACACCATCTGGAGCAACTTGAGGCGCCGCGTCTTGCCCAGAGAACACTTGACATGTGGACAGGAAGAGAGCCGAGGATTGGACTGCCGACCCTGTGATTAGCGGCCGACCGGCTCTTCCTCCTCCTGAGCCAAAGCCGCGTGCATTTGTAAACAATTTAGACAACAAATTAGCAAAAACATGTTTCGACTTCCGCCACATTCACACAAATCAGAGGCTATAAAAAATATAGTGGATGAAGAAACACGGACTACACCCATTGGTTTAGGGACTGCCGCTTTGGAGACAGGAGTTTTACACTTCTGCATCACCATTTTTGTTTTGTTTTTTAAGCCAGGTGTGACCATATACGGACATGAGGGTAGCCTCGCCCTTAAACATAACGTGATTTATTGTACATTGGGCTCTGAATGGGACCATCAATGATTAAATGAGCATCACGTTGAATGAGGAAGACCTTAAACTCGTTATGAAAATGTTTACTGAGAGAATGATTCAACAGAGAAGTTTCTCATTGACCTTTTTGCCACCAGTGCAGTCGCCCCCTGCTGGACAAAAAAATAAAAAAAACACTGGAGGAAACATCAACTTCTTATAAGCGTATCAATTCCTTTTATCGATGGAGGTTTTTTTTTTTTTTAAGTTTCCAGCTGGAAACTTGTGACATGAAAAAGTCACACAGACTGTAAATATGAATATTTGTAGCCTGAGTGTCGTCCCCCGTCTGTCCCTGCAGGGGGCGCTGGAGTCTCATCGATGGCGTCCCCCGTCTGTTCCTGCAGGGGGCGCTGGAGTCCCATCGATGGCGGTCTCCATGCTGGAAATGCTGTCTCAGTCTAACTTTCAGTCAACCTAACGACAGGCTGAGAGCTGGAGCTGAGGCGGGTTTTAAACCTCCTGACAAACCGTTACACCGCGCCCACCTGTCAATCAGGTCAGCTACACGCCTTATTGTGAATAATCTTATCCTTCATCAAATCAAAACTGATGAGTCATCAAAACATTCACCCCCCGTACAGTGTGTGTCCATCCAGACATGAGCTAATCACACCTATTTGGTTTTTTGAACCAGGCTGTAAACATGTTCATCTCTGCTGTAAAAACAGGCTTTTTAGAATGGGTGTGTATGTGACTTCCTGTGCTTCTGCAGCCAGCCTCTAGTGGACACTCCAGGAACTGCAGGATTTAGCTAACATGAGCTTGCATTAAGCTTTAAAGTTCAGCACAGAGATTTGTCTTTGGTTCCAAGCTGTTGCATCACATAACGCACCTGCTGAACGCGTCACACAGCACACGCTCAAACATAAACACGCTGCAGTCGCTCCTACAGAGAGACATGACACCAGGTGATCATCCACCTGACTCAGGTCAGGTGGATGATCACCTATCACCTTTTACACACCAGATCTGTGGTGTCTCAAAAAGCTGCTCACCTGATTCTGAAAATAAATAACATTCATTTATCAAGGGACGGTCGAGCTGATTTACCATTTGATGAGGAATCAGGGGCGTCTGTGGCCTAGTGGTTAATGTGTGTGCCACATGTACGGAGGCTATAGTCCTCTAAGGGGACGGCCCGGGTTCGACTCAGACCTGTGGCTCCTTTCCCCTCATGTCATCCTCTCTCTATTTCTCTCTCTCTCTCTCTCTCTCTCTCTCTCTCTCTCTCTCTATCTTCTCTTCTCTCTCTCTGTCTCTCTCTCTCTCTCTATCTGTCTCTCTCTCGCTCTATTTCTCTCTCTCTGTCTCTCTCTGTCTCTCTCTCTCTCTCTCTCTCTATTTCTCTCTCTGTCTCTCTCTCTCTCTATTTCTCTCTCTCTGTCTCTCCTCTCTGTCTCTCTCTCTCTCTCTCTCTCTATTTCTCTCTCTCTCTCTCTCTCTCTCTCTCTCTCTTTCTCTCTCTCTCTCTCTCTCTCTCTCTCTCTCTCTCTCTCTCTCTTCTCTCTCTCTCTCTCTCTCTCTCTCTCTCGTCTCTCTCTCTCTCTCTCTCTCTCTCTCTCTCATCTCTCTCTCCTCTCTCTCTCTCTCTCTCTCTCTCTCTCTCTTCTCTCTCTCTCTCTCTCTCTCTGTCTCTCTGACAGCTACAGTCTGATGTTTTATTTACATATATTTGCATAATAAGGCTTTTATGTTTATTCCTTTCCTCAGTACAAGAAGTCGTACTATAGGAGGCAACTAAAAACCTCCTTTCTGTCCTGAAAAACTTTAACAGCTTTTCAAGAATCAGATTTTTTAAAAAGCGTTTGCACTATTTTATAAATATATTGATGTGTTGTGATGTGTGATCACACCGAGCCTGTTTCATGTTTCCCAACCTGACAGGAATCCAGACTGAAGGGGGTTTAGGGCTAAAGTGAGACCCTCAAAGTGCTCAATCCGGCCCTGAGTTCACCTCCTAGTCCAGACTAGGGGCAGGCTTTCACAACTTTGGGGTTCAGATCCCATATGGGGGTCAAATGTCGTCCCCTGACATTTCTAATTATTGATGAATAGAAAATCTGTTGTAGCGTTCTTCCTGATTTAAACTACAAGACCCTCTCAACGTGGGCTACATGCTGAAAACTAACAGACTTGGTCTCGGTCTGTCCCTCATCCACGCGTCATGAGTCCAGCTCTGTAAACACGCGCTCACCTGGCGCAGAGCTCACCCTGCTAGTCTGCCTGAATGTCCACAGAAACACATGAAGCAGCCTTAATGTGGATAAAATGAAGGCTTAGTTTAACACAGTGGAACAAACTAATACACGACTGAAGAAATGATTATTTCAACAATAAGCTGTGTGTGTGTGTGTGTGTGTGTGTGTGTGTGTGTGTGTGTGTGTGTGTGTTTTAGAAGTCAAAGTGGAGTCACAAGCCAGAAAAGGGTTTGAGAACCACTGGACGAGGAAGAGGAAATATCAAAATCTAAAAGTAAAACAAAGCGACCTCTCAGATATGATCATCCATAACATGAGTGTCTTCTTCTTACCCTGCTGCTGTGGAGGAAACAACACACCAACTCTCTCATTCCTCTCCACTAAAGTTCCCGAGTGTCCTCACGAGTCTCTGCCGTGGGGTGGGGGGGAGTGGACCGATCTGCCCCGTTACACCAGCCTCCGCTCCGGGCTGAGAAACTGTGAAGCTCCCGGTGAGAGAAAAACAACAGAACCGAAAGTTCTCCTGAGACGGTCTGCGCTCCTCCTGACTTTATCTGCTGTGACGAGGCTGGAGGGAAAGATCCACGCACAGAGACTCGAGGAGGATTATCCCGCGTCTGTTTGTGTTTCCTGGCGTGTCAAGCCGCCCGCATCACACACACACACACACA